TCGGCCGCTCCCCACCTGCTGAGAGGGCCCCTCGACCGCCCCGCCCCTCGCAGCCCTGAGACACGCACGCACGTCAGGCTCAGAGGGACCCCGTCCCCAGCCGTGCACACCCCCACCTCTGGGCACAGACGCCCACAGGGCTTTGGGCGTCCGGCGCTGCTCCCCGATGAGCAGCCTTCTGGGCCCGACCGCGGAGCCCCAGCTGCTCCTGCGCTAAGTGGCCCTCCCTCCGCCTGGGCCCAGGGCGGGAGGCCCGGGGCCACCGCTCTGCGCCGCTCTCCTCACCGAGGTCACACATGTCCGGCCAGACCCTGCTCCCCGCTCCGGGCTCCCCACAGCAGCCTGCTCACCCCGGCAGACAGGGCACAGGCCAGGACGCGAGGGGTGCGCACGTGGGCGCTTCCACTCCCCGGCGGCCCACAGCTGCCTCCGAGGCGCAGGGAGGGGTCGGGACCCCGTGCGAAAGGCCTGCGGCAGAGCCGCGCAAAGGCTGCCCTGAGTCCCTTTCCTTTGCCTGTGGCCCAGAAAGTGGCTGGAGGACACAGCCCCGCGGTCTCCTCACGGCGGGGGTCGGGGCGGGGAGGCGGCCATGAGCCCGGCCGCTGGGCCCCTTCCGGGCTCGGCTCCCCGGCGGCTGTATGAGTGAGCATGCTACCCACCCTCTCTGTGCCTCAGTTTCCCCAACTGTAAAGTGCACCTGAGCCCTCAGCAGATTCCGGAAGACACATGAGCTGCCAAGGAGTGGACAGTGGGAAAGAACCCACAGGAACAACCGAGTTAGTTCAGCAACCCAGCCGGTGCCGGCGAGGTGGGGCGCGGGCAGGGGACACGGTGCGGATCCCCCGGGACTCCCGCGGGACGGGATGCTCCTGGGGTGGCCGGGTCCGTTTAGAATGAGGGTCACGGGACCTCAGCTCCCTGCCGGGTTAAATTCTCTACTTCACAGGGTGATTCTTAAGGACGTGGCTCAGGCGCCAATGGACGGACCTCATCAGCATGTGTTTCTGGAGATGAGGGTGGACAAGCTGCGTCCTGTCCCTGTCCCTCCGCCAGCCAGGGCGCACTCACGCCCTGTACTCGGTGACCGTTACGTCACTGAGAGCGAGCGTGTCCCAGGCTCCCTGCAGTCACACCGCCGCACATGCTGGGGCCTGCGTTCTCACGGAAGGTATTACCTCTGCTACAGTAATTAATTCTTATTAAAAGTCCTGTGATTAGCAGCTTGGCTGCCCCACAGAGAATGATTGTTAATAAGAGCAGAGCTTCCTAGCGAATCTCCAAACGGACTTGGAATCCCAGCTGCCCCGGGGCCTCTGGGCCCCGCACTCCCGGGGAGCCCCTTCTGCCTCTGCCGCCTCCCGGGGCGGCCCGTCCCACACCCCGCAACGGAGGGGCGCCCCCCGGCCTCCCGGACACCTCGGCGCTGCGCGGCGCCCCTCCGCAGGCACCAGGGCTACCTGTGACTTCATCCCGATTGAGAACACACAGATGGCGCGGGGGACGGCGCGGGGAAGGCCCCCCACGGCCCAGGGCTCTTGCCTCCAGGGTCGACAGCCCTCCGGCCCCAGCCCTCCCTGGTACAAAGCCAAGCCGCTCCGGCTCTCTCCCCTGCAGCGATTTCCGGGCTTTGCCGTGTAGCGATACGATTCTCCTTTCCAGGGCAGTGCAGCGCCCTAATAAGCCATCGCCTGGCAAACCCCAGGCTGTGGGCCTGGGGCTCTTCCCCCTTCTCTACAACCTCCCTCCCCTGGGGCCCCGATGGCCCGGATTTCCAGACGAGGTCCCCCTCGCCCTGAAGGGTGACCCCTATTAGCCCTACCCCTCGCTTCCTGCGTCCCACCCGAGGATCCCCCGGGACCAGATGTGGGGGGACCAAGGCACTGGGCTGCCCTGGAAGGGGCCCGGGTACTTCCAGGGAGCTGGGCTGGTGGGGACACGAAGGCCAGGCCTTGCGGGGTGCGACCTGAGGGAGGCGCCAGACCCTGACACGCGGCTGGCGTCTCCTGGTGCGGGGTGGCCTGATGTCGTCCCGCCTATGGCTCCAACTCGGAAAAACATCAGCACCGCTGAGCGGCTGAGAGGCTGCTCGACAACCAGCGCCCCTCATTAATTACGGAGCCGCGGGGTCCCGGAGGGCCCCGGCTCCGATCTCAGCACCCTCGGGGTCCGGCCCCTGCCGCCGGGAAGGCGTGATGCTTTCACGGAGAGAATGGAATTCCACTGGTTGGGGGTTTCATTTTCTAATTCCCAAACCAAAGGCTGTCTCGGAAGCTGGCCTGTCTAAACGCTGCATCTCAGTGTGCCGCAAACTCCATCTCTCGTCTTGCTTGATTTCCTGTCTCCGGCTCCTGCTGGCAAACGTGCTGTCGGGACCGGAGACCCGAGGCCGGGGGCACAGGATACCCAGGGCACGGGCCGCCCGAGCCCGGCCTGCAGCTGTCTGCGGGGGCCTGCCGGGGGCGAGCCCGACTCGGGGGGCCTGGCCGGGCCCCCCCCCGGCCTCCCCCTCGCGTGGCCTCCACTTCCAGGGCACACAAGAGCCTGTGTCTCTCTCCAAAGGTGGTTTGGAGCCCCACACTAAACACCATTATTTATCTTGTGTCGGCCCTGAACCACCAGGGCTGTGTGTGCTCCTACAAAACTGTGCCCCACGCCGACCCAGGGAACGGCTGTGCCCCGGACCTGTCCCATCCTGTGGGGACCCACGCACCCTGCGGGTGGCGCCGTGGAAGCCGGGGGCCTCACAGCCTGGCCCAGCGGGCGCACTCAGGCTCTTCCAGAGGGGACTGCTCGAAGGTGACGCCCATCTGGGAACGGGATGGTTCCAAATGCCGCCCACTGGGGATGCGTCCCCCAGCCCCGGAGGGCCCAGGGGGCCTTCCCCGAGGGTCATGGGGGTGCCGTCACCCCCACCATGAGCTCTGATATGACTCCATCAAGACAGCGCCACTGTCTGGCTGGCATCCTACGGAGGCTGCGGCCCCTTCACCTGGACCCAGTCCGCCCACCCTGCCCGGGAGGACGGCAGGCGTTTGACTGTTCTCAGGAAGTGAGTGCCTCTGCCTGAGACGGCGCAGCCGCCGCGCCGCGGGGTAGGCTCCAGCCCTACCCTGCGCCTGCGGAGCCCGGAGCCTCGACCCGCGGCCCGGGCGCTCCTGCTGGGTGGGGGTGCGCCGAGGGGTCTGCTCCACTTCACCCGGGGCCGCGTTAGAAATGCAGATTCTCGTCCCCACCCCTGAGCGCCCACGTGATCCCTGCAGTCAGAGACATTCAAAGGGAGGTGCCGGAAAGCCCACCTGTGACACGCACCCCTGCCTGCAGCCCACAGGGGATTCTGGGAATCGGCCCTGGCCCGGACCTGCACGCCTGCCTGCTGGTGGGCCTGGGCCCCTCGGCCGCTCCCACGGCCGCTGAGCTCTGTCACAGGTGGCCTGGGGGTGGCCAGGGGCCGAGGGCTCGGGAAGGCTCCTGGCCACCTTCTGCTCCTGCGTGTCACGCAGGCCCTGGGCCTCCCTCTGCGGTTGCTGACACGCTTGGCAATTCTGCTGCGTGGATCCTGAGAAGGGGCCGGCGCAGCACCCGGCAGCCCGGGGCCCGGGGCGCTGGCTCAGCTCCGAGGGCCCATCTTTGTCCACAGCTCCTTCCTTCTGGGCTCTCCGGAAAGCCCAAGCGGCACAGAAAAGACGAGAACCCACCATCCAAACGCCCGGCCCCACCTGGAGGCTCTCACTGTCTCCCAGGAACACACTTCTGCGTCCCTGCCTTCCAACACTCACAGGGGGAGGTGGAGGAGGGACACGTTCACGTAGACCATTCGGCTGGACCGGGCCTGGCCTGGCCATCGGCCTTGGGGTGGCACCCCTACCTCCCGTCTCCACGCCAGGTCCAGGGCGCAGACCGGCCCCATGGGAGCCTTCCCATGGGGTTGGGCCGGCCCCGGGGCGGTCAGCCTGAGGCCCTCTGGCCTTACTGTCCTCCTCCTTCAAACACCCGGCCACTCCAAGTGGCCCCCAGGGCCCTGTGGACCTACGCAGAGGCTGGGGGTGCTGAACATAAAGGAGGCGGCCCCCCAGCCCAGGAGGGAGGGAAGGAAGGAGGGCAGGCCAGCGGGGGTCGGCAGCCAGGGCACTGCAGCCCCCACAGGCTCTGGCTGATGTGGCACTGGAAACGCAGACCCAAGAGGCCAGGAGGCCTAGGGGAGGTGAAGGAATCACTGGCCGGTCCCCAGCGCAGGCCCGGGACTGCACTGATTCTGCACTGGGTGCAATGGCGGGACCCCCGCCCCCCACCCCCCGCACACCGGCCAGCAGCCGGGCAGCAGCTGATGCTCTGCGAGCCCCTCCCCGTGGAGCATCCTGGGGATGTGGGGCTCGGAGTCGCTGGGTTTCCTACCCTCCTCGCCAGCCAGCCCAGCTTCCTCCGCAGCCTCCCAGATTGCAAAAGTCTGGCCCCAGCCCCCTTCCCGCCGGAGCTCTCCTGGGCCTCCCTCGCCAGCCCTACCAGGCGGGTGGCCCGCCTCCCCGGAGGCCCAACGCGCAGTTCCCGCTGCAGCAGAGCTCGGCGTCCCCACCTCCGCTGCCGCCTCCGTCCACCCCCAGGCTTTCCCGACTCAGCTGGAGAAGGGCCCTGCTCCCCGCCTCGCGCCCTCCCCTCGCGAAGTTCCCCAAAGTGACCAGGGCACTGAGAACCCCCTCCCCCTCCCCTCGGGCTTCCCCCGAGACTCCGGGCCGGCGCCGCCCCCTCCTGCGCCTTCGGAAAAGTTGCGAGCGACGCCCCAAACTCTGGCCCCCAGCCCTGCGCCGCTGGAGCCCCTGGCGACCCCGTGCTGGGCCGCTGCTGCGCAGGGGCGCAGCTTCCCCAGCGGGCCGGGCGCCATGACTCGGGGAGCGCAGCGGGGGCCCCGGCTCGACAGGGAGGCGGCCAAGTGCGGGTGTGGGCAGCGGCGCGGGCCGCACGTGCGCGGGGCTGGGGGCCGGACGAGCCGGGCCGGGGGCGCTTACCTGTTGGAGGTAGAGGAAGGTGGGTGGGCAAGGCATGGAGTGCGGGAGCATGCTGCCGGAACCGGACAGCAGGAGGCAGCCCGAGTTCGCCATGGAGCACAGCATGGGGCGGCAGGGGGGCGCCCGGCGCCGAGGCAGCTCTGCGCTCGCTGCGCCGCTCGCACCCTCCGCGCGTCCCTCGGTGTGTGCGCGCGCCCTGCCTCCCTGGCGCCCTCTCGGTCTCCTCCTCCTCCTCTTCCTCCTCCGGCCCTCCCCTCCCCCTCGTGGCGCTCCTTAAGATTGAGGCATGGAAGGAAAGCCGAGCGCCTCTGCCCGGTGCTCTCCTGCCCGGGAGGGGATGCTGAAGAGAGCGCGAGAATATGGCAAGAAAGGATATATGCGCGAGAAAATGGATGAGGGGGAGCGGGGGAGGGAGTCAGTCACTTTGGAGCCACCGGAGCCCTGTCTGCAAAGAGCGGTGCGTGTGTGCGAGTGTGCGCGTGTGCGCGCGTGTGTAGCGGTGGGAGGGGGAGTCCCTGGCGTACTCCAACATCAAACAGCCCCGCGCGGAGGGGAGAGAATCCGGAACGACGGCACTACAGCTGATCCCACACTTAACCCCTCGCCCGCTGGCGGTCAGCCCGCGCACCTCCCACGGCCCCTGCGCGGCTCCCCTCCCTCCCCCAACCGGCACTGCCCCCGTTTGCGGATCTGGAATCTGCCTTTGCCCCCGCTCGGTGCGCCCGCCCGCCGCTGGGGAGAGGAGTGGCTCCGCCGGCCCTTTGGCCCGACCGGAAGGCGCTGGATCCTGCTCGTTGGGAGCAGCGCCTCTCCTGAGGGAGGCCGGCCTGGTGGCGGGGATGTCGGTGATGTAATGAGGACATCTACGCAGAGGCTTCCGCGCCGGGAGCGCTTCTCCCGCTCTCCAGGGCTCCGACACCCAGCAGGAGGCCCTGGGAGTCAATCCTGCCCTCTGTGGGCCCCAGACCCCATTTCCGCCCCCTGCCTGCCACAGGGACAGGGTCTCATGGATACTTAATGTTGGCGGGGGGGTAGGGCAAGGGGTACGGGCTACAAAACATCTTCCCTTCCCGGCACCTGAACACGTCGGGGCAGGAGTGCCCAGGAATGCACCCTGGGCCACAGTCAGCGTGGGGCACGGGTCTCGGCTGTGTCCCTACAACACCACTGTGCCGGGGGGTATGCATACGCGCACATGTGTGCCCACATAAATCTGCAGCTGCACCAGCCACACGCACGCCCCTGGGCCTGCCACGCAGTCAGGCTCGCCAGGCCCCACTGGGCAGGCTCTGCTGACCGGGAGCCGCCCAGGTGAGCTTGGCTGTGAAGGGGGCAGGCGGCCACACGCCGCTTAGAGGCAGAGGTCGCAGGAGGGCGCGCCCAACCGCTCGCCCACTCACGCACGCTTCGCTGGGGGAAGGGGCGAGCCGTGGGCACCCAGGGGCGGCTCCAGACTCGCCACCCTCTCCCTGCAGAGGGCCAGCCCACGCTGGAGGTTAGGCAGGGCGGGGCCCCCTGGCCATGGGAAGACTGCTGGCCTGGGCGTCACGGGGAGGTCCCCTCCCATGCTGTGTGACCTTAGCAAAGCCGCTTGTGCTTCCCGGACTTCAGTTTCTGCACCCAACCAGGGCAGCTGAGTCTGAGACGCCCCGTTGCCCTCGCCATGGGCGGCCGTGTGGGCCCCGCTCGGGAAGGGGCAGCGAGGAGGCCAGAGGGAGGGGCGCCCCCAGGCCTCCCGCAGGCGGCCTGGGACTGAGCTCGGTCTGAACAGGGCCGGCAGGCGTGGGCCCCATCCACGCCCCCTCTCAGGCAGCCCATGGCACGCAAACGAGGCAGTTTCAGCTCACTCTCTTCTTCCAGGGAAGGGGTGCCGGCACGAGGCAGACAGGAGAGGGCCGAGGGCCAAAGCAGAGGCCGCAGGCGGAGCTGGCCCGCCTTGCCAGGTGGCCGCACCTGCCTGACCTTTTTCTGGATTCTCCGTCCGCGGTGTCCCCGGGGGCGGCGCTGGCGCAGTCGGGGAGGGACCACTTGACTGTGGACTTGACACGGGCCTCCTCCTGACTTCAGGCTGACGGGGTGTTAACTTGGCTTCCCCAAGGAGGTTGTCCTCTGCCTGACACCGGGGGCGGGGACCAGGAGCCAAGGCCCCGGCGTCTGGGGCAGCGGCCCCCGGCTGGGCGCAGACCCTGCGGGGGCTCTCCTGTGGAGCGTGGCACCGGAAGGCCCTGCCCCTGCCCTTCCAGGCGTGCGGCTCTGCCCTCCTGTTTCAGGAGCACGCCCACCTGTCTGTCTTCTCCAAGCCCCCGTCGGCCATCATCGCGCCTTCCCTGGAGGCCACGGGAACGCAGCACGGCCACGAAACACCCCCCCTCGCCCGCCCCCCCCCCACCACCACTGTGCCTGCGAGCGGCTCACCACCTGCCGTCACTGCACGTCGCCGAGATCAAGGCTTTCTTTTTCCCTCCCGTCAGAGATTGTCGGGTGCACCCAGCACGGTGCCTGACGCTCAGCATCTCCTTCCCAAGAACCCCCTGGGCGCAGACCCTGCCTCGGTGCTGGGGTGGAGAGAGGGACTTCTCTGTCCTGGAGTGAGCACCCCATCTGGTGGGGCAACCAACCCAGCACGCTGAGGCTGCAGCCTCCTGTGCTGAGAGCTCTGAGAGCCCAGGAGAGTGGGAGCTCAGACCCGGGGCACAGTCAGGGAAGGTTTCCTAGAGGGACCCCCAGCTCAGCGCTTTGCCCCGGAGAAGCCGGGGCAGCGGCACCTGGCCACCCGCGGGCCTCTCCGCAGAGCCGCCTGCCTTCAAGCCTCACCTGCAAAGCCCGGGAGCGCCCGGACACCCACCCCGTCGGCCAGCTGACCGCACCCAGGCCCCAGGGAGACTGCGAACAGCAAGAGGGGACGGAAAGGAAGCCTCCTGGAAAAGGGCCTGAACAGCGTGTGTCTGGCTTAGTTCTCAGGACGGGGCTCCATGGTGTGTCCTGGACTCAGGACTTCCGCTGTGAGCCAGTTGCGAAACGGCAGACTGAGGGGACCTCGGTCCATGGGGTGTGTTTTCGGCGGGTCCGGCGCGGAGCAGCTGAATGTCTGGACTTGCGGCCTCCCCTTTGAGCCTCCATGTGTTGCGAGGGCACGGAGCTTGCCGGCCGGTTCACTCCACCATCCCAGTGCCGGGAACGGCTCCTGGCAGCGGCGAGTGCAGTTGGCTCTGCCCTCCGCCGGGTTTGTCCCGATGATGAGTCGGCCACAGCGGCCGGAGGGTCCAGGGAGCCCGGCTGGGTAAGGCTGCGGCAGGAAGATCGGGGCCCCCCGGGGCGGACGACTCGCTGTCGGGGCGTCAGGACCGTCTTCCGCCAGGGACTGGGGCGGAAAGGAGGCAAGGGCCTCCCCAGCAGCACAGCCAGTCCGTCCTCACCTGCACCTCCAGTGCCTGGCACGGGAATGGCACCTCAGAGTGTGGGGTCCAGGGGTCTGCAGGCCCCCTGGCCCTCTAGAGCCCCCGTGCATCCTGGGCCAGGGTGGGTGGCCCTAAGCGGCAGGTCGGGGGGCCCAGGGCCCAGGGCTCGGCTGCCTCCGCTTCTGGGGTGCAGGCGGGCTGTGCGCTGGGAAGAGCCGTCAATCAGTGCTAATATTCACTACTTAAAAAAAGAGCCAAGGGGAAAAAAAAATATCCCATTCGCCCTGAATCTGAGAAGGGCCTTGTTAGGGAGGCAGGAACCGAGCTGTAATTATTTCTGCGCTCCTGGGCACCACTATAAATATCAGGCAAGGAGGCACCTCAAATGGTCCAGATGGTTCTAAGGCTTGGGAGATCTCGTGGATCCTTCCTGCCCCCACCCCGTCACCTTCCCCGGAGGAGGCCTGCTGGGTGCAGGCGCTGCCCCCGCCCCGCCCCTCGCAGAGAAGGCCCGGCTTTCCCAGCCCCCCAGGCGAGCTTGCCTGGGAGACCCAGGCCCGAGCAACCTGGCAAACCCCTCAGTCTCTGGTGACACAGGAGACCCCCGGAAGAACACGTGCCAGAGAGTGCATAAAATGGCCTGTGTTTTTAGGAAAAGGTGGGTAGTTCTGTGCCCCAAAGATCCGGGGCAGTGTTGCCGTGACAAAGCCTCCACCCCACCCTTGCGGAACCCCCAAGGCTGCGCACGGACACATCGCAGCGGAAGACAGGGCGCTGCGGGGTCCCTCTGGGGAGGCTGGCGGGGGCTGGGTCACTCAGGGTCCCGCTCCTCTTCCCTCTCAGAGTGCTGGCTGGCAGCCCCGGGCTGTGCCACTGGAGAGGACAGCGTGCAGCCCAGCCACGGTGTGCCGGGATGCGGGCTGAGCTCACCGTCTCCCGTGGCAGCTGAGCTGTCGTCTGCGGACGCTGTGCTCTGGGCAGAGCCAGGCCCCCCGGCCCCGGCTCCAGGGTATTTGGCACGGGCTGGGGGTGCGCGCTGGGGAACCAGGGAGGGGGAGGGGCGGCACTGAGAGCGGGGTTGCCACGGGGGGGGGGTTGGGGCTGGGGGGGGCGTAGCTCCTAGTGTGTGTGCGGGGGTTGTCGGGTGACCCGTGAAGCCTCTTCTGTGTGAGCCGCAGCAGCCATGGCAGCAGTGGAGCACCCGTGGGCTCAGGCCCAATTCCACGGCCGCGGCGCCCGGAGGGGAGCTGGGAGAGAGCCCCCAGAGCAGGGCCGCTCAGGGCGCCTGCGAGAGACGCTGTCGGGGGATGTGCAGCTGAGGATGGGAGGGCTTTGTCCCTCCCGAAAAACATAGGAACCCCGCAGATCCCCGAAGGTGGTGGCTCCCTGTCTTGGGAGTGGGGGCTGCTGTGGGCCCACCCTGGTGTGTCTGATCCTCCCAGGAGAGCAGGGAAGTTGGCAGTGAGTGCCCCGCGGGGAGAATCAGAGGCGGGGTGGCAGGGAGCTGCCCTGGCCGACCAGCCCACGTGGGAGGCGGCCAGCCAAGGGCCCGCCCGCACCGGCCAGGGCCAGACCCGCGAGGAGGGGGTGCTGCGGGTGCACCCGCCCCTGGGCCCCCCGCATCCCCGAGCGGCCAAGTGCTCGTCAAGGCAGAGGGAAAGCCGGGCCCCGTCCAGGCCGCCAGGGCCAGCACCCAGGGTCCACCTGGGCGGGGGCCTCCCACGCACCCACG